GTGAAAGCTGAACGACATGGGCCCGAAAACCATCAAGGTCATCATCGCAATCGTGAGCAGCATTCCGGCCATCATGGACATCGTCAAACCCATCATCATTTTATCAGTATCACCATCGGTATCATAATATCAGCTCCATGGTGCTTACCTACAACTCCAATCTACCCACCTGTGTCAGGTTTGGCTTCAGTATTCAAATGTTCCCCAAGCGGTACAGCCACGCGCAACTCAGCAAAAAAGCATTTGCGGCGCATCTGGGGAACACAACAAGGTTAGATCGGGGACCAGGCATTCGACACACAAACGAAGCGATGCATTGCAAAGGCCACGAACAGTCGATAACAGGAGTCACGACAAGTGCCGAAAGCAGTGTTTGGCCAAAAGGGCTTATGTTTTCCTCAGGCTGAGCTGTTTCTCGAAGTAGGGCTGAGGCTGAGGGTTCATGGTTGAGGACTCCGGTGTTAGTGTAACAAGTGTAGTGTGCTTAAGGTGTCGTGACCCGTTCTTCGCAATGCATGGGTGCCTGGGGAGTGGCGGGAACTACTACAAGTGTCCATGAGCCAATTGCAAGCACGGCACATGCATACGCACCCACAAACGGGCGACGACAACCTACTCCTACTCCTACTACTGCTACTACTGCTACGACTGCTACGACTGCTACTCCTACTCCTCCTCCTCCTCCTCCTCCTCCTCCTCCTCCTACTACTACTACTACTACTACTACTAATACTACTACTACTAATACTACTACTACTACTACTACTACTACTACTACTACAACTACTACTACTACTACTACTACTACTACTACTACTACTACTACTACTACTACTACTACTACAACACTACGACGACTACCACGACCACCGCCTCCACCACCACCACCACCACTACCACCACCACGACCACGACCACGCCCACGCCAACGACCACGACCACGACCACTATACTACTGCTACTGCTACTGCTACTACTACTACTACTGCTACGAGCTATGATTGCTACGACTGCCACTGTCACTGCCAGTTCGCGAAAGACCTGCGCAACAGGCTCTGTGCCGTCGCACTCCACGTGTAGAGCGCGCTCGAAGATGGACCGAGCCCGTCGGAATTCCTGCCAAGCGGTCTAAGACTAGGGCCTAGTGTTCGGGTACAGGGTAGCGGCAGGCTGCAGGGTGTAGAGTTTGGAGGTAGAGGTCGAGCATACTTCGAGTTTAGGGCTTTATGTCTAGGCCGTCTAGGCACAAGTTGTGACACGGAGGGCCAGCACTCCCTACCGCAGGCAGCACATCGTGGCAGTAAGTACTGCAAGGAATGCGCCCTCGCGCATGTGCTGGTCCTGCTGCGACGCCTCCCACTGCGCATACTTCACCTCGGATCAGATGCTAAACCCGAAACCCTGTCGCCCCGAACACCAAACCCCAAACCTTAATGCTTGAAGCCAAGCAGCCCACCCTCACTGGCATTCTACTCCGCCTCTAGGCCAGAAAGGGACCCCAAAGAAACGGAACTTAAAGCAACACAAATAAACTTAAGCAGCCTGAGCTCGATCCGGAGGCAAGCAATGAACCCTTTCAGCTCTTCGTTGAGGGTTTGGCTTTGTGCTTCGGGGTGCCGCTCTTTCTTGCACATGCTGTGCCAGACACCAAGACCCGAACTCCCATGGCTGGAAATCTTGGATCCTAATCTCTCAGCAGTAAACCCTATCAGCTCTCCACGCGAAGACCCCCAAGCCGCAGACTCGAGGCGAGCTGCCAGGCTGAGGGCTCGAGATTTAAAGATCTGCTTGAAGCTTTAGCTTGAGTTTCGCTTCCGAGTAGAGTAGTTCGCGGCCAAGGCCAAGGCATGGAGGGTTTTCGCTGTTACCCTTAAACTGCCTTAGATTCCGAAACTTAGGCACCCGCCCAAGAGCCAATGTTCTGCCGCTGGCGACGGAGTACGTCCTTCAAGCATATGCATGATGGTGTTGGGTTCCGTGCTCGGGTCTCGAGGTTTGGGATTTGGGGATGGGGATTTGAGATGGAGACATACACGCACTAAATCTTCTTGAAACACAGGCCTGCAGACATCCAGATATGTAACTGCTCAGATGCCTGATCCAAACATCTAGTTCGTAGCAACTCTTGGCCTGTAGGCACAATGCTTACAAAAGTCTACAGAATCACAGCCATTTGCGAATATGTACGTGGCCAAACGGAACTAGAAACAAACCGGTAGAGAGATAGACAGCAACATATAAAGAAAGAAATATTGAAAGACAGATGAACTGCCAGAAGGATAGACAGACACAACCTACTGGTGCCAGATGACATAGGAATACATACATAAGTAGAAGCATTGATGACGGGAGGATTGGTAGGTGGATATAGATACACATAACATAATATGCAAACATACATTGCAGCATGCTCGCATGCACAAACGGTGCAAACGGTACAAATCTCCTATCAACCTCTGCGCGCTGATTTCCACTGGCTATACGGCTATAACAGCTCACAGCTCGGAGAAATCTGTATGATGCCAATGGAAATGTAATGGCAACGTCTCAAGCGTGAACCTCACTGCAGACTGTGGCGGAGACAGGCCTCATACTCCTTCCTCTTGCGGACTTTGTACATCTGGCCAGCGGAGACAATGGTGAGTGGGGCCCAGACTCAAAGCCAACCTAGGGGTTCCAAACGCCGATTTCCAAGACGCCAAAACATCAGACCCCAAATCCCAAACAAAAGCCTGTGATTGATTGGAGATTCCCTCGCTCAGTCATAGCTGTTTTTGACAGTATACTTGCACTGCTGCAGCCCTGATTCTGGACTTTGATGCGGGTGGTGGCAGGTGTTGATTACGAAGAATTATGAGTCTGTTGTGCTTGTTTTTGTGGCCGCTGCTACAGCTGTCACTCTCGATCTTTGCTGTCGCGATTGCTCTGTGAATGTTCTAGCCATAGTCTTGCCAAGGCAATGTGGCGGCCGCACCCCTAGACAGGGAACTTCGGCTATAAGTGTCTCAAGAAAAAGCAGGCAGTTAACGTAGTCAACATGCTCTGTACGCGAGTACTACAGGTGAAAACATCAACGTTCCAAAAGCTCATGCTGCTAAGAGTTATCGTCTCACTTCAGGTTGGAGGGTACCAACACTTGGCGCCAAGCCTACATGCACGGAAACCGAAACCGGTGCTTCAACGCATGCAGGGATGCACCATCAGCTCATCCTCATCGACGATGCGTTGCCGAGGCGGCACAGCTTCTGCTTGCTGACGGTCCACTGCCTCGCCGGAGCTGAGGGCTCTTTTTTTGCTGCACTTGAGGTCTATGGACTTGGAGGCTTCGGGGATCGGTGTCGTCCTAATGCGACTGAGTTCACATGACACGCGACGCTTCTCTCACCCCTGACCGGATCGTGGAAGCTACCCTGCGTACTCTACACACTCCCAGCAGACCCAGCATTCCTTAACGCCCACACCAGTCTCAGAGCCTGGGAGAAATTTTTCAATCTAATTACCCATCGAAAGCACCCTACACAGGAATACACATTGAAAAAGTGGGCTGCAAAAAGGTGCCTGCTGAGGAGCTAAGAGCCCATTCGGATCCAAAATCATGCCATCCAGTGGAAGGTGTAACGCTGCGCAGGATCTGGGGATTTAGATCTCGGAGGAGCCTCGCGCAGCAGCTGCTCGGCGGTGATCTGATTGGGGTTGGCACTCTTGTTGCGGACCTGGGCCTCAGCGTTTGGATGCGCACTGTCTTCCAGAAACGGTTCCTGCCCGTCTGCGAAGATTTCAGAGAGCTTCCTATATTCCAAGGGTCGGGATAGGAGTTGAAAGACGGCTTTTTAGCAATCTCTTACGTCTTGTGTCAGCGAAGTGCCTGAGAGGCTCTGGGCTTAGAGCTATCGGCGTTCAAGGTCTCATCGTTGAAGGTACCGCCCGCGGCGGTATACGGTGTGGGGACATTCGGGGGGGCGGTTGGCGCCTTCATTACTATCAAAGCCACAAATGTCACAAGAAGCCCATGCCGGGCCCCGAGCATTCTTGCCCAAGCCGGTGCTCCCACCAGTTTTGGGTGGCATGGCGCGACCGTTGCGTCGGAGAGCTCGGGTTGGTTTCAGGAGGGCCGAAGAACTCCAAGGTTCCTAGCTCTTCGAATTCGAAGAGAGGCAACATCCTCTGAACTGCCCTGAATGGAAGTCGGTGCCTGCTTCGTCGAGGTTCAGTCGGCTCTCTTCTGCGAGATGGCTCGACCCTAAACCCTAAAACGGACTTCAGCTATCAAGGGGAAGCTTCCCAACCCTCGCAGCCCTCAGCTCTGAGCCAGCAAAGTTCGAAGAGTAGAGTCTCGGAGAAAGAGGCCGGGAATCCAGGCTTTTTGGCTTCGCGGTGTAGAGTGGAAGGCTTCACCCTTTAGCAGCGTACGAACCGCAGGCATAATCCACCTAAGCACAATTAAGGGTCAGATTCCAGAGTAGCATAAAGCAGGTTGGCTTGGGGTGAGTGGCTGGACGAGTTCAGCACTGCTTCAACAAAGAGGAGACGCCTCGCACGATGACTTATGTGACAGGGGCACTGCAGGTAAATGCCTACGACAATGTCCTCGCCGAATTTCCCAAGCTTGAGGCTGCAACGGATGGCCCTGGAACACCTGGAACCAAGGATCTGCCGAAAGGTGGCCGTTGGGGCCTCGGGCCGTCAAGAATCCGACGAGACCAAGCCGTACAGAACATACGTACCATATTCCAGGAAGATTCTCGAAAGACCTGTCAAAAAGAGCTCTTAACCCTTTCAAGACCGTCCACGTCCTACACGACACTGCTAAATCCCCAAAATGATCGCATCGAACACTACATGCCTCCGTTGCTGTTCCAACGTGCACGGTCCCGTCAAGCCACAAGACCTGAAACCCTAAACCCGAAAGTCCACAAGCCCGAACCCCAAATCCTAAACCCGAAGCCCATCGAGACACAACCCATCTGGAACGCCCTGTGGCTAAGCCCAAACCTCTTTTTTTACCACTTCGGCCGGAATGCGGCAGGAAGTGAGCTGCCGGGTCGAAAAGCCGCAGGAAGCGAGGACGGAGCTGTGGCTGAGGCCTGCGGAGGGCACAGGAGTCACCTGCGCTGTCATCTTCAGTTTTACTTTGACCTGCAATTTGATCTCCCTGGCCTGCTGCGGCTGGGACTCGGCGGTAGTCGAGGGGTAACCGTAGTTGGCAAAGGCAACTGCATCATTGGCCTGGCGTTGGACTTGTTGGCTCTGCACTGAACCTGTCTCGTCTTGTCTTGTCTTACTTTTTCTTGTGTTATCGGTCGATCTATCTAGCCATCTGTCTACCTACCTGCCTGCCTACCTACACCTACCTACCTACCCACCCACCCGCCCACTTACCTACCCACCTACCCATTTATCTTATCCACCTTACCTGGCTTATCAAGCTTATCTGCCTTTCTGTTTGCTTGACCTTGCCTCTCCGATCTACCTGTCTATTATCTATCCAAAATCTATCTATCTATCTATCATCTATCTATCTATCTTTCTATCCAGCTAACTAACAGTCTGTTCATCGTCTGTCTATCTATTCTGTGCATCTACCTGTCTGTGTGTCGGAGTTCTCCCTGTCACAAGCTTGAAGTTCAGGCGGCCATGACAGCATACCCTACAAGCGGCTTGGGTTCAGGGTTCGGAACTCTGTGCTTACCAAGGAGACCTTAACGCTTCAAGCCTGCGACGCTGACTGCGGCTGCTGCGATGAACCGGCCACCATAGCCGAAGCCGCATTGGCATAGACACTTGCCTCCACCACGCAACAATGTAGAGTCTTCGGCTGGGGTTAAGATTCCTAGGCGATTACGAATATTCTACCGGCTCCCGGCTCCCGTCATCTTCCGTGGGAGCAAGCTTCGCGCCTAGGGCCTAGAGTGCCGGGAGCCGGGCCTCAACACCCCTCCCCAATGAGAATGCTGAAAAAGAGTCAACCTCGATCACCCCGAAACCCTAAGCCCTAAAACCTCCCACACCTGAAAACGCCGGGCAAAAGCAAAACTTCTTAATCCGTTCCCCCATGTATTAAACACCCCTATTGACAAAAAACACTGAGGGGCCAATCCTGGTCTCGCTCTTTCTCCTGCTCTTGCTCTTGCTTTTGCTCTGGCTCCTACCCCCGCTGTTGTTCCGCCTTTGCTCTTGCTCCCGGAACCCCTAGTGCAAATCAGGTCTACAGGGCAGGGATGAATTCGTCGGGAGCAAGAGCAAGCGGACCAGCGAGAGCGAGAGACGCAGCAGGACGGGAGCAAGAGACAGACCAGGAGCAAGAGCAAGATCCGTCAAAACTTGCGGTAGAGATAGAAATAGCCCCTAATGATAGCAACATCCCCCGTTTAATATTTGCGGGGGAATAAACAGTTGCAAACTCGTGAAACAACCACAGAGCCCCATGAAGGAAGAGCAGTCCTGAAACGCTGGAAACCGTCAGCTGACAAGAGCAAAGTGCAATCGGCACAATCCTTGAATCTTCAGTCCTGCAAGGACGCTCTCAAACACCCCCTGGGCCCAATGCTAGGGAGGGGTGGATCTTGGCGGTTTTCGCCACGCTCGCCGCCATCCTGCCAGGGCTTCTGGGTAAGGGCTCGCAAGGCTCAGATCTTAGGCCTCGAGTTCTTTGATAGTGTTCTACATTGCTACATGTCTATGGCTTTTGATGCTCTGCTGCAGGGTCGACAGGCGTAGGATGCCGCCAAGACCCTCAACCCCCCCCCAAAAAAAAATCCCCAGACACCGTATCCAAGCCGTGAGCCGCAGCATAAGCCAAGGCGCCGCTTGGCATTTGCCGTACTGGCAGGCACTGAAGGAGCTGGAGCTTGCTGCTTTTGCTGAGCCTTGCGGTGGCGTTGGCCGAACGACAGAACGCAGAGTCTTGTTTCTCAGGCTCGAAAGTTGGGGCATTGCAGTGATTTTGCAAAGCGGGTTGAATGTGCGGCTTCACTGTCCTTTCTGCAAAGGGTTCAGGCTTTGTGGAATGGAAGACTGGAAGACTGGTGAAGACCTCCAGGACTTCGGCTTCCATGGAATGTGGGTCATCGGGACTGGGCGAAGGGGAGTTCGTCCTCAGTTCTGAACGGCCGTCTTGCATACGCCCTTGGGTGCTGCCTCTTGTATCTTTGTTGAGGAGGTGGGAATCTCAACCAACAAGATGCCAGAAGCGCTACCACCTCTCACGGAAACACTTTGCACAATATGCACAATCTGGCTGAAGCCATTAGCCGCTTCGAAACAACTAGGTGAATCCGAACGGCCCGAATCCCTGACCAGACTAGGCCCTCCGGTCGGGTGGTGTTAGGACCCCTGAAAGACGAGAGAGGCCCCGGCAAAATACTCTGCGATGGCCGCAGACATGGCCGAATTCCTCAGCAGTGGCATCGCTAAAGTCTTCAAAGCCAGTATCACCTGTTGAACACCTTGCTGTATTTGGGCGCAAAGCTGATGCGGTCTGGCTTGGGCAGGCAGCTGTTTCAAGAGCCGAGCATGTTTCTAGCAACGGGGTGCTGCTCCGGCAGCAGAAGGGGTTCCAGGCCCGACAACTTGCAAAGCCGCGATAGATTTGTAGCAGACTGGCAGTTATTCAGGCCGAATCGCCCAGCCAAGAAGGGACTCTGGCTCGTTTCGGGTTGCAAGCACTCTCATTCAGCCTGGCAAGATGATACTACAAAGGCCCCCTATGCTCTGAATCGAGACTGAAGGCAGCAATCTCAAGATTCCATGAGAGTGCTAGGTACTTTCAACCCTTTAAGCACCAAAACTCTCTGACTTCATAAACACCCTGCGCATCATGCAGCGCTTGCAGGCCCCTGCAATCCGCCTGAAAATAGTGCCCCCAACTACTAGTTCAAGCCTGGCAGCCCTTGTGGTGCGTTGGCAGCCTCCCTCTTCTCCTGTGGGCTCGGATTCAGAAGGTTCGTGAAATCCTAGTGCTGAAGACCTATACCCCTCTTGCAAACGAACGGGGTGATGCTTTCATACCGAATCAGCAGAAAAGCAGGTTCGGGCTGGTTCGGGGCTTGCAGGCTAAGGGCTTCCGGGTCTTGGCTTGAAGTTTTGCGAACCCTGGATCTCGAACGAACACTACATCCGTGGACGATGGAGGCTTGCAGTATGTTTGAGGATGTTGGTAAGCCAGTTCCGGGACCCGAGTCCTTTATCCTAAACTCCTGGATTCTCGCCGTGGGCAGCTATATAGTCTGGGGCATCAAATTTGGGAGCTGTGTGAAGAAGGCTCCCAGATTGAAACGCACGCTTTACCAAACAAGCATATCCCCGTCATCTATCATGATTGTCATCACTGCCGCGGCCACAACCACCAGCACCACCACCATCATCATTATCACCATCACCACTCGTTCTTCGCACATAATGAACCGAATACGCCTCTGTCACGACCTGGATCTTCAGACAGGCAAAACCCAAACTTGATTCTGGCATTATGAAGCTGATCGATAAGGTGAGATAGGTTGTCCATGGTTTAGAATGTCTAGGCGTGGCATTTATCTTGCGGAATAGCTCTCCAACATCTTGACCTTGACCATACTCGGCTGTGCAGGGAAAACTGCAGGAGCCAGCCTGCCGCCTGCGCTTCTCCTCCTCACAACCCGAGTTTAGCATCTCTGGTTTGAGATGGTGGCTTTGTGCGACCAGCTGCAGTAGCAGCAGTAGCAGTAGCAGTCGCAGTCGTAATAGTAGCAAAAATGATGACAGCAAAAGCAATGCTGACAGTATCCGCAACAAGCGCAGTGGCAGCACATGCGAGAGAAATGAATGCAACAGGAATTCGAATAGCAGTTAGGCACAGTCAAAGTAGAAGCAAGAGCACGAGCAAGAGTCATGGTCATAGATGTCCGTAGTCATCGTCATGGTCATAGTCATAGCCATCGTCATAGGAATTGTGCTAGTAGGTGCAAGAACCAGTAGGAACAGTGATAATAACAATTATGACAATAACAGGGGTGGTTTTTGTAGCAGTAGCAGTAGCAGTAGCAGTAGGAGTAGAAGTAGCAGTAGCAGTAGCAGTAGCAGTAGCAGTAGGAGTAGGAGTAGGAGTAGGAGTAGCAGTAGCAGTAGCAGTAGCAGTAGCAGTAGAACTAGCAGCAGTAGTAGCAATCACGTAGCAGTAGTAGCAAGGGGAATGGCGACAGGAGCAGGAGTAGCAGTAGCAGTAGCAGTGGTAGCAGCAGGAGGAAAACGAATATTTCTTTGCAAAAGCAATTGCAAACAGTGAAGCACAGAAGGATGTGTAGCTGTAGCAGGAGGAGGACGACCACGACGAGCCGTTTTCTCGTTGCAGCAGCTGTTGTCGTTCCTGCTGTTACAGCTGTAGTTTGATCAAGTGCGAGTTTCAGCTGAGGCTGAGGATCAAGGTGCCGCAACAGTTGTCTTGTCCGTGCCGCTGCAGCCCTGAACTCCGCACCTGAAGCCCCAACCCCCGGCCCAAGCACTGCTGTAGCCTCAAGGCATAACAACCCCAAGCACGGCAGGCCCAATACCCTCATACCCACAGTTAACCCGAAACCTCATTTCAACCCTTCACTCCAAAAAGGCCGTAGAGGACCCTTCAGGTAACGAGTGAAGGAAAAACTGCATGACAGGCCTGGACTTCCTGTATCAAGTACTTCTCCTCTGGGCTCTGGGCTTTTTGGTGGATTGCTCGGCCAGTGGGCGGACAGGTCGGCTCTTGGTGCGCTTCGGTCCGTGCTTTAGGCTCCAACATAGCATGCCTTCAGCCCACTTACGTAGCTTCGGGCTTTGGGCATTCAGAATGCAGTGAAGTTCCATGAAAGCTTGAAGCTAATCTGGAATGCCGCAAAGACTGCATTGGCGATGGCTAACGACTAACCGTTGCATTTAACATAAAAACTTTGCTCAGCAATGTTGGCACCGTGTCAAGCACCACTGTTCAGGTCTGCAGAAAAAACCCGTGATTGTTCACTGTTGGTTGCGGAGTCAGAAACGCGCTGCCACGGCAATCAATTCCACTGTTGGTGGCCTGGTTGCTGCTGCTGCCGCTGCGCTTGATGCATTATTGAAGTTCTATTTGCTTGGGCTATTAAGTATTTAACATTGTCACGACAGCTGAGAAAGGGGCGCGGTCGCGCAGCTGCTTGAAGTTTTGCATCTCCTTGACACATCCGGGAAGGCCCGGACGCAGAGCTTAGGTTTGGTTCGGGGGATGAGAAGGGCTTCAGATCGTGATTTCAAGGTTCAGGATCCAGGAGGTGAGGGATAAGCCTATCCGTATGAACCCCTTCCCACATCTTCAAAACCAATCCACGAAATGTAAACCCGAAACCTGCATGATCAGTCCATCGATATGCCGAAACAGAACTATGAAGTCCAACCCCGGAACCATGCAAGCTTAAGACACCAGAAACGCAACATCCTGTAGACCCTGTAACTGTATGTCAGCAGCACCTTCGAAACAGTCTGACAATACGGAAACCCCATAGCAGCACATCCCAAAGACCCAGACCTTCAACTCCGAACTTCCCCCTTCACCAAGAGTCTCCGCACTCCAACCTGGATAGTTCATAATCCAAAGAAGGAGTTTCCAAAACAACATCGCTGCGCCTTGAACTTTTGATGATCACCCAAAGGCGTAAACTTCTCGCCCAGGTTGTTCCTGCACCAAGTCGGAGTCCGAATTCGGGCCTTTTCAGGGTGTAAATGGCAGGTCTGCAGTTGCTACATTTGCCACATGTCATCTGTCTCCAAAGCCTGCTACTACTACAACTACCACAACTACTACTACTACTACTACTACTACTACTACTACTACTACTCCTACTACTACTACTACTACTACTACTACTACTACTACTACTACTACTACTATTACTACTACTAGTACTGCTACTCCTGCTACTACTACTACTACTACTACTGCTACTACTACTACTACTACTACTACTACTACTACTGCGACTACGACTACTACTCCTACTACTACTACTACTACCACTACTACTACTGCTGCTGCTGCTGCTACTACTGCTACTACTACTACTACTCCTCCTCCTGCTGCTGCTGCTGCTACTACTACTACTGCTGCTAGCTATTGCTACTGCTACTTCTAGCCAAGAAAATTGTCCATGTTCAACAGAAGAAGGGCTGGGACTTTCCGCCTCAGTGAGTTCAAAGCTTCGTTCCGTTGGCGCAAGGCCTCGGAGGGAGGAAGAAACTTGCAGATCGCGCCGGTTTCAAGGTTGAGGGCTTCGGGTTAGGCTACCGGCTACCAACCGTTAGAGAACGAGTACTACCGCAAAGATCGTGAAAGCCCAACCCCAAACCCTAAACTGAGTTCATGTGTTTGAGGCCATCGAGACTTCGGATAGAAGCTCTCCCCGAAATCCCAGAACTTACGCTGTGAAAGTGAGGACTTTAGGACGAGGGTTTACATATGCAAAGATCTCTCCGTTTTGTTCGACGGGACTCCAGCTGCCACAGTGGTGACAGACATCTGCAATCTGCGTAGGGGTAGGGGTAAGGGCCCATGTTGTAGAAGCGGATTTGGGTTGCTCAACAAAAGGTCTCTCTAAAATTCCTGGAAAGAACCGGTTCACATGAAGAAGCCTACCCCTCCGTTTCACCCTTCGATGACTTCAGGGCTGTGTCTGGGGCCCAACCTGTTCCAGTTCCTGCTCTCGTTCGTCCAACTCTTCGTCCGACATGGCAGAAATGCGGGTAAATCGAGACCTGGCGCCAGTTCTATCATACTTGCAGCTGGCAGCAATGTCGCGAAGAGGTGGACGAATTCAAACATCATGGTGATACAAGCAGCGAAAAACGAATGAAGCGCTGACGAGAATTGTGAGAACAGGGATGACAACTGACCATGAGCAAGATGGTGATGTATCTGTTGTTGATGAAGATGAAGATGATAATGCCGACGACGATTCTGACGAGCATGTCGACGAAGTTAACGACTGCGGTTGTGGTGAAGACTGTGACGGGATGAAGTTAAGCCCCGCGGATGCGTCATCATATCCCTGATGATCAAGATGATCATGACGAGCATGGCGACCATGATGTCCATGACCACAGGAACGCTCACGATGGCCACCCGTCTTAACACTCCTGTGGTTGTTGATGTAGTCACCATTCGCAGTATGGTGGCAAGCAGAACTATATAGTCATAATACGGTCGATAACAACATGCTGGTCGTTACCTCGGACAGGGACAACAAAACAATGACACCTGCAAATATGACATCATCCTCAACATGTGCTTAAATACAAACTAGCACGCTTGCGCACTGAAGTATCGCTTCTCTGGGTCTTATACTGTCGGTTCTTCGGTGCAGAGCTTGGCCTCTTCGGCATTGATCTGGCTGTCAGTCGCCCGTAAAGGCGCACACAGAGATCGCGTGAGAAGGTGCGGTGAGGGCCTCGATGTGGGAGTAACTAGGGCGGGTGAACCTGGATCCTTTGCCAGGAACGTATCAGATGTCGCACGTTGGGGCCGAGCCTCTGACGGCTTATTGTTCAACTAGCTCTGCTTGGAATGCCGTTCTGTCAGGCATGATCCTACCGTGTTGGTAGACCGGCATCTGCACAGCCGCAGACATCTTCATCACCACTTAGATGGATTTCAACCCGAAGCCTGTAGAATGAGGATGTGAAGCATCAACCCTACATCCTAGGCCGCAAGTGAAACTACACTGCAGGCCAATGCCTTGAACCAAAAACCAGCAGAGCACTCTCTCAACAGTGGCCCAGCCTCAGCTGCTCTCTGAAACTCATCGACTCGACGAGTTCGGGCTTAAGGTCCTAAGGCTTGACGTAGGACCACTTCAAGTAGAAGCCGGATACCTCGCGAGGTGACGAGGCGAGGACGATTTGGAAATCACTTGCCAGGGGCTGTCTGCAAACCGACGGCTCTCTCGTGACGGCTCTCTGAAGGACAAGCTAATGCGGTATGGGCGTATGCTTTGGGAACTTCGGGCACTTCGTCCTGCTGCCCTCTCCGAGCCCAGGCCTTCCAACAAGCCCGCACATCTGGAAATTGAACACTTGCAAACTAAACGCCGACACACGAATGCTTGATCGCAAAGTTAGGCTTCATGTGTCTGATAGTCCGCCTTGACGGCTGGGAAGTCATGAGAAACCAACAGCCTTGAGAGCTCAATCAACACAACCCGCAAATCCTCCAAGCTGTAAAAAGCCCCGGCCCCCGAGACACTTTTCGTTCTCGCATACAGCACGGCCGTCCTCTACGGGCACTCGGCTCAGTGTGGCGTCTCCTACTTGACGTTCATGGCAGGTGCTTTTGGGTGAGGGTCCAGGGCACCAGGCCTTGCGAGTGGCCCCTAACACATGTAAGGCATGGGGGGCCTAATCTTTGCCCCCTGAGGCTTCGCTCGGGATCGGTTGAGGGTGTGGAACGCAAGCCCAGACGCAAACATCCAGCTCCTTGCAAAGCACCGCTCACGGCTGCAAGACGAATCGCTGGGCCTCTTTCCTGATGATACAGGGACAGGGATTGGAGTATAGGGGAAAATTCTACAGCATACTGAAGCCTCGACAATGCAACCCTGAAGGTTCTGAGATGGGCGTCTGGAGTCGAAGGCTTGAGAGAAGGTCTGATAATGTTTGGCACCGGGCTTCGAGCTTGAGGTGATTGGAGAGGCCCGGGACTTCGAGCTTAGGGCAGGCTGAAGTCATCGGAGGTTTGGGACTGTGTGGTTGAAAATGGAGGGTTCAGGGTTGCAAGGGTTTACGTTCATTCAAAGTTAGGTGGCTCAAAATACGAGGTTTTGGATGGGCCTAGGTTAAGCATCAGGCTTTGCTATGTAGGCACGGGATTGGATTCCGTTTCAGAGCCTTTCAGAGTTGAAGGTCTGTTCAGGACCATGCAGCCGCGCGTGAAGTTCGGAAGTGACACATCCAACGTAGGTTATGCAGGTAGGCGCACCAGCAGAAACGGGAACGGACTGTGCCAAAGTCGAAGATCCATTGTCTACATTGCCAAACAAGTTCCGCCGGACTCCGTCAAACCACAGTGGAAACAGAAGAATAGCATTCGTGGTAGCAGCAGCATGAGGATAAAAGGCCCTCCCCACCCTGGAAGGACAGCCCCTGCAGTATGCTGTCAGAAACAACTCAACCCAAACCCCTCAACACAATCCGAAGCCAAACGAAATAAAACCATCGCCACTACGCGAAGCCCCCAAGGACCCTAGCTCCCCAGAGCCTTCAAACAACCCTGCGAGACAACAGCAGAGACCATAAGCCCAAAGTCATGAACAAAAGTTTCACATAGACTCTAGACTCTCTAGACATAGACGACAGGCCCCAGTAGGTTGGCAGTTTAACCCCTGACTGTCGGGGAAAGCTTGGGCTGGTCTGGGTGCGGAATGTGACTCGGCCCAAATGGAGGGCTGCTGATGGCTTGGAGGTCAGGCTCACATGGGGTCATAGCTGCAGCACGACTAGTCACTAGTAAAGCCGACGCAAGCATTAACACTGATGCAACGGCCATGAAACTCGCAAAAACGGCAATAGACCCCTCACCACTTTGGGGCAGGCGTCTCGCAGTAAAACTCCGGAAATGAGTGCCAGGGGTAGTCCGGTGGCTGTTCAATCTGAAAGCCTTCCGAGCATGGAAAGTTTTGTGCTTCACTTGAGACTTGACAGCGTGCGGATTCGGTGTCCGAGATGCGTGAATTCTGGGTCGCATGAGTGATCGCACCGAAAAACCATCAGCACTATCTGTACCATAAACCCCCTGCGAATTCTCGACGTTGTTGATAGTAACGAGATATTGCGAAGTTGCAGGCCCATGACTTCGATGGATGCTCTGACAACAGCACCTCCCTGGTCATGTCCTACTCGGAAGGATCAGCCGGACAGCTTGTAAGGTGACATCATATGCCCTGCTGTTTTAGGTGCAGGCGGGTGGATCTGGGGTTTTATCTCGAGCCGAAGGGCTGTCTGCACTCCATGACCAAGACGAGAACAATGTAACACTGTCACAAAGTATGGTTGTCAATCATCCACGATGCCGAAACGATTGGACATGTTGCCATTGTAAACGACCGGGTTAAAAGGCTCAGAGCACAGGAAGCTGCATGCCCCTCATGTCGTAAAACGGCTGTCGCTATTTCCCTGACTGTGGGAATAGAATGAAGCTTCGGTTGGGGTGTGGTTGTCCTGTGTTGACAGCTGCTAAGCACTCCCGAATTCTGCTGCGTCCATCCAACCAACAAACTGTCAATAGCCTGATACCTGAAACAAAACCCCTGACTGTCGATCTTGCCTTCTGAGATCAGACGATCCGTTATCTCCTCCGACATGCCTGGGAAACGGCCCTTACAGGCTTGGGGCTTCAGCTTGCTGTGGGCTTAAGGTGTAAGACTTCCGGTTCAACGAAGGCTTCGTACTGGAGACTGGGTTTTGGAGCCGATAGTTTTGGATGATGGCAAGCAGGTTAGGCTCCGAACTTGAAGCCGTATTGTACGTGTAAATATGTATATCAGGCATTCCACAGAAAAGCTGTGTCATTTAGGCGGAACGGCAGCTGCGCAATGTAGTGCAATGAAGCAGCAGATCGCGTGATACAGAAAGGAGTAGCATTCCCTGGAACACCGTTGGAGGGATCGTTTCAGAAAATTTCTGTCTGCAGCAACATGCAATCTGTGCTATCGTGTGCAACGATGAACATGCCTCTTCCAATGTATCCCAAAGTAAAGTATACGAATCCATTTGAGGATATACACATTCTTAACAAGGAATGCTGGAGATGCTTTCGTAAGAGAAATACTTTTGACAGCAGAATTGAAACCTTAAAGTGTTTAATCATGTAGATGGTCGTTTAAGCAGACTCTCAAGACTGGTTGAAAAGCAAAAGCGAGTAGTCGCGGTAAGTTGTTCGGAAAAGTAACCCTGTTCTTCTCATCATGATGAACAGGATCTGCGACAATTATGAAATGCTATTACTGCTACTTCAACTACTATGACGACGGCCGCCACCACCACCGCCCCCACACCTCCATCACCACAGCAACTTCTACGACTTCCGCTATGCTACTATCGCTGCAGAGACGACGACTACTGCAACTACATCCACTACTCCTGTTGCGGCTACTGCTGGCCTTTGGGGAGCATCCTGCCTAGATCCAGTGCACCCTTGTGGATGTCCTGAAGCATGGGAATGCCAGGCCCTCTTTCTGAACGAAGTTCCCTCATCACCACACAGGAATTCCACAAGTGCGTTGGCACAAGGTTTCCACAGGCAGTTCAAGAAGGATCGCTGCGGTCGCCACTGCTACCACGCAGCTCCTGCCCGTGTAGGCGTTGATGCGCCACTACAGTATGTGCCACCTATACCAAACCAAAGTCATGTTCGGATCTTTCGGTGAGACAATCTGCATCTTGTTTCGATCAAGGAGCAGTTCCGGTAGCCGTCAGAGCCAGCCTGTCTGCTGATCTTAACCCCAAAACTCAAACCAGCGACTGGGAAGCTGTAACTGTGGGCTAGTTTTCCAACTTTGCTGTTAAACTCCTGTACGAGTCGTGCCCTTGTGTGGGGAATCGATGTACACCACATCAGCGTCACTTGGCATTGGCGAGAAGGAGTTTGGACTTTGACGAGCTTGGAAATCTAATCTAAGCTTCGCGTGAAAGCGTCTCTTGGAGCTGGCTGCCAGAAACAACTCTCAGCTGCAAATTCTGAAGCCGGTTGAATCTCAGACCCCCAAACCCCAGATCCCCAAGCTCTCGCCGTAAAATCCTACACTCATGAAGAGCAAATCTAAATCACCGATCATTCTCAATCCGCGCAGTCCGGGCCAAGGTCTAGGAATGTTCGGGACCATCAGTCAGCCCTTAAGGGCTAAGAGATTGACTACTCCCCGATGCTGGTGATATCACAGGAACTATGATGAAGGCCTGCCGTTGCCAATGAGATATCGCCTGCTGAAAACATGATTCTGATGTTAGTTCCCTCATGCTGCGTCAAGAATGCATCAGAGGTGCATAGTAGCAGAGGTAGGTCTCGCCGTCCTTCCGCATGTTCTTCGCCGGCAGGACCGGTAGACCACTCGCGTTCAGCAGCCTACCGGGAGGGCTGAGAAGGACTTTCCGTGAATTTGTAAACACCTTAACCCTGAACCGCGAACATGAATCTCCAAGACTGAAGTCAAACAAAGAGCTCAACTTGATTCGAGGGATCATTGGCTTCATGCATAAACGATCTGCGTTCCGTCCCTTCGGCATACAAGGACCCCTACTCATCTACTTAGCAAGTCTTAGTTTGGCACAGTTGTAACCTTCCAGGTTCTGTCTATTTAAAATTTATGAAGAGAAATGGGGTGAATCTACAGACTTGCTAGTTGTTGTTGCCTATCTACTCATTAGCCGATCGGACAGGTCCTCATGATTTTTGATGCCTCGCACACAGCACTACTATACAACACAGTGCGGCAAAGTGTAATCAGTACGCTGCTACGTTTGAGAACAAGACATATAATATGTGTGTGTATATATATATACGGGAAGAGGAGATCGGTATCAGTCACGAACCGTCGTGCAACTATTGCAAGTACCTCACAAGCTCGAGGTTGAAAAACAAAACGGAAGCACCTTCACCTGACCCTGCACCACAGCCAAAGAAGCTGAAGCCAAGGATGATGGAAAGGCCTGAAACCAAACACCACAGAATGTTACACCATCGAGACACGTAAAACAAGCTGTAAAACAAAGTATTATATAATCCAAAAGAACAGGCTCCCGAAACCTAGATGTTTGGATCCCTAGGATTTCCGACACTCTTGCTTTGAGGGAAACTCTTTGTCATCCCCATCCTCACCGTCTCCGAAATAGCCACCGTATCAAGTTTATGATCTGAGAATTTGGCCGCTGAACTCTGAACCCAATGAGAAACATCAGAATCTTGGACCAAGTAGCCTCACGGCGATTCCATGCATGCTCAGCACAGTTGCCAGCACCTTCCCATGTCTTTCGGCTTGAAAGCTTGCAGGGTAAAACAAACACCTGAACCCGAAACCAGTAGCCCTTGTGCAGGGCCTGCTTTCCTAAGTTCTCGAATGCAGGCTTGACGGTTCCACTCGGGAATATCTAGGGTGTAGGGCTTTAGAAGAACTCAGGGATTGTGATCGCTACTTCTCCACACGAAGCTCCACACAGCTGCAGTCAACAAGCAGGCTGTACCTTCACAGAAGCGTCTTCTTTGAGGAACACAAAACGCCAAACAAAGCCACGATGACAAAGCGGAGACTGCTAGTGCTGCCAACAAGACAGATCACACAAGACCGTGCTCCGAAACCCCCAGCTCAGAGATCGTCACTGTTGCCAGGTTGGCAGTACTCGTGTCGCCACGACTGACTATTTATGATGGCAAGACAACAACGACAACAATGACAACAGAGTGACCATGGAGTTTGATCATAGTGGCCACAGACACACAGTTGATCGCTGCGCCGGCCATTAATGGAAGGAGTGGCCATGACTAAAAGAAAGTGTCAACCAATAGAACAAAACAATGCACGTGCTACTGAATATTCACAGACATTAACTTCGCAGATCCACATATGAGAGTGGTACTCATAGTCCTCAGCATGGTGAACATCGTTTGGATAGCCAGTACGACTGCGACCATAGGCAATCGTCGTAGTCTTCAAAACGAAACGCTATGTTTGAAAACCTGACACAAGTGCCTTGGTTGTCACACTATGCACGACCATAAAGCTATGTAATACGACTAGTACCTCATGGACGAATGCCCTGAGGGCTTTGTACGAACCTGGATCATTGCTAATCATAAAGCTCTTGAGGGTCAGAGCTTTGGAGAAACACTTGTGCCTCTCGAATGGCCTGAAGGCAGCGCTTGGGACGTGTGACGCTGGGTCTTAGGGTTTAGGGATGGAATTCAGAAAGCCAAACTGCCTGGAAGACGTTCAACCCTCCTCAAGCGCCTGCTCTGGCGAGCGGTGGAGCAGTGGCTGCAGCTTTTGCTGAAGCCTCTCGAAATCCCAGCGCACGGTTTGCCTTTGTTGGCCACAGACTCTGGCTGTGCGCGAGAAACCCACAATCGCTGCACGCGAACGGCAAGCTCGTGGTTTTCAAAACACTACAGGTCAAGGATACCAGAATCTGTCAATAGCAGGAACTCCGAAAATGAGGAGTACGATCATCTGAACAGATGCCTGTCTCGGGAGCCCTCGTCAGTGTCAGATAGGGACCACTCACAGAAACTATAAACAGACTGCTTCTGCTGGTTTGAGGACCCGGCATTAAGCAACATCGGGTTGAGGACGGTGGTCTCAGCGTAATTCAGCTGAACGTCCCTGACCCTGGATTCTTGACCATACTTGGCAAACCGAAGCTTCCCTCTCGCAAGATAAATCCTTACGACCCCAACGGCCCGGTTCAACCCGAGAGAAAGCTTTCCCAGTCAAGACCACACAGCGAAACCCCACATCCCAACCCTGACCGTGAAACATGAGCATGACCGCCAAGCCACAGCGGCAGTCGGAAGTATGCTTCCGCAGTTCCTGGAATCGCAGTCTTTGCTTGAGTCTGGAGAAGTGGGGTTGGGTTTTCGAACCGACTGGTTTGCCAAGCCAGCCAGACTGCTTCAAGGTTGCATAGGATGCTGTGGTCTCAAAACCACCAAAGGCCATCAACATGTGTCCTTGTCCGACGGCCAGTGCGAACTTGTCGTTCAGACCATAGCAAGGGTTGCACTCTGGTGCGTAGAGCCTCAAGTGTTTCCTGTTTGGGCCGTTTCGTCATAACAATCTGGCTAGCAGAAGCACTAGCAGTAGCAGCAGCGATGGCAGAAGCAGTGGCGGTAGCAGTAGCAGGAGCAGAAGAGCAGCAGCAGTCGCAGTCGCAGTCACATTCGCAGTCGCAGTCACATTCGCAGTAGCAGTCACATTCGCAGTAGCAGAAGCAGTAGTAGTAGTAGTAGTAGTAGTAGTAGTAGTAGTAGTAGTAGTAGTAGTAGTAGCAGCGGCAGCAGCAGTAGCAGTAGTTGTTGTTGCTGTGGGAGGAGGATCAGGAGGAGGAGGAGCAGCAGTAGCAGTAGCACGAGTAGCAGTCAGTCGTCGTGGTGGTAGTAGTAGATGTCGTTGTGGTAGTAGTTGTAGTAGTAGTCGTCGTCGTAGTACTAGCAGTAGCAGCAGAAGGAGTAGTAGCACTCGTCGTCTTCGTCGTCGTCTTCGTCGTCGTCGTAGTACCGTTGGTAGCGGTGGCGGTAGCGGTGGAGGTACTTGTGGCGGTAGTTGTAGCGGTAGCGGTTGTCGTAGCCACAGCCGTAGTGGTGGCAGTGGCAGTGGCAATGACAGTGGTAGTAGTCGTCGTCGGTGTAGTAGCAGCCAGTAACTCAGCCGTAGTGATAGTCGGGGAAAGAACTGTAGTAGAAGGCGTACTCCGCACACATTGACATGTACCACAGCACCACCTACATGCACATGCACGTGTACATGCATAGATACATGCAACTGCATACTGAATTCATACATACAAACACAGATGCACACACACAGAGACACCCATACATCCATGCATGCATGCAAACAAACAGACATGCATACTTCAGTAAGCACGATACAAACATAACTGCCAGACTGCCAGAATCCAGACTAGCGTAGTGACAAACGAACATGCGAACATACGAGCACACAAGCATCTTGTACAGACAGACACAGCCGGACTGTCTGACAAACAGAAAGACAGACGGACGGACGGACTGAGTCGCACAACACGCACAAACACACACACACACACACACACACGCACACCATCGTCCGTACGTTCGGACGTACCCACTGGCATACACATGCACACGCATGTGGATATAGGGGCATGTACCAACACGTCTTGAGGAAGTTGCTCTCGTCTAAACACGGTCACACAAAATTCCAAGGACAAACACGACAAGTAGGTGCGCAAGTCTAACTCTGTAGGTGTAATATTATATATATATATATATGTGTATATGTATATGCACATTGTGTCACCTTTTCCTTAATTAGTTTTGCAAACATGGGCTGCGTCCGCCCTACGGATCACCACGCCCGAAAAGCGAGAAAAGCGAGATATATGTAACGCATATGTAAACATACATATATATATGTACATATTTGCAAACATATGTTCGTAAGCCTATACACTGTGTATGCCCATGTGTGGGCGCGTGCATGCGTTTAAATACACATGTAGCGGTAACTGATATCTGTCTATCCATCTGCCTCATCCACGCACCTGTCCTTCTACTTGGCCAGCTATCTGTACCTTCGAAGGCCTCTTTGCCACTCTCCATACAGTTACAGTGCAGGAAAATTTGATCTACCGAGTTCAGAGATAACCACACAAAAAGGAATTGTGACACAAACAAGTGGACCCTCAAAGAGTAGGCTCTTTTCAATCATGGACCGCACACCCCGATTCCCTTATCCTTGAATCCAAAACCCGAAGGCTCGCGGTGCGGCTTTCAGGCTCAGGGTTTTATGCTTCATGGCCAAAAACCAGAAACTTTCTATGCGCACGGAAGTCGCAGTCCCAAAACCACTTCGACTGCTGGTTGCTTCTTCGGCACGTATTCTCTTCCAGCATCGGCGGCAGTACATAAGGCTGCATGATCGCGTCATCGTCTCCTCCATGCGTGGCTCTATCTTCCGGGACTCCGGCAACGAGTTGTTGCTTCGACTTAGACTTTCGATAGCAAAGCTGGCTTGAGGGGTGAAAATCGGCAGTCTTCTCGTTGTACTGCCGAACAAGATCTTTGTAGCGAGTTCCCTGAAGTGAGTCCTGTAGCACGACACCTTGAGTCCGAAATCCCAAGCCCTGAGCCATACAATGTAAAAGCAAGATGACAAAAAGATTTGAGAAAGAAGGGCCGTAATGTCACTCTCTGGGCGGGTTAACTTTGACCCTTGTGATAATGCAGATGGCCGGCGTTGCAAAGAAACAAGAATATTGCGAGCATACCGACAGACTCTCTGACCACCACCATATAACAAACACTGAGAATTGCGACGACAGCATCAGCTTCTGTATTGACAGTGCTGTGGCACTGGAACATATAGCGAATCATAACCATCACCGTTGTTGCCGGACCAGCGCTCTGACTCTTTCTGTTCCCACACCGAGGGACGAAGTCTCATCGTGTATTTGGCACTGGGCCAAGGTAGCTGCGCGCAGCGGTCCAAGGCTTCCCACCTTTGAAACTCACGAGTTTTGGACAAGAGTGCCGAACCGCTGGTATTTTACAGCTTAAGGCCAGTGCTTGAGCCTGTAGCTTCGTTTCCCATCTACGGCTCCACCATGCTTGAATGCAGCGTGAGGACCACCATTGCAGCACAGCAAAGCTCAGCCCAAAGGGCTTCCCACCCCCCAAAAAATTGGAAGCACTCTGGTTTTTCGTCTGGGCTTTGGCGGGCCTCGGTGTAAAGCCAGAAACAGGAAACTGTAACACCCAGCGTTTCAAGCCATCATGTCTTTCAAAACAGGTCTGTAGCTGCCACCATGTGCCACCCATCATCTCTTATCGGAACTTGGAGGATCCAGCGTCACAAGCAGCAAGCAAAGTTCAATTCCGGGTGAGCACAGTGCCAAAACTCGAGTTTCAGCACATGCCAGCAAAGGAATCGCACCACCCCGCACGGCGGCAGACGCACATGATGACATGCTGCCAACAACAACAACAACAACCGCAGCCACAGCCGGTCACAACCGCAACCAGAACCAGAACATCTCATTCACACGCAGCGGGAGAGCGCTCGGTTGGAGCGAAACTTGTCCTCGCTTGGGGAACAAGAACAGAAAGAATAACACGAACAAGAACAAGGACCAGGATAAGAACCAGCAGCGGCAGCAGCAGCAACAGCAGCAGCAGAGCATAACTTCACGGACCACCGCAGCTGCAACGACAATCTCAACAAAAAAGGGGAGGACAACACAGTCAATAGAAGGAACACATAGTTTTCACAATGACTATCATTAAAATCATACCAGGCCAACTGATACTGCGACATGCGTGCGTGAGCATTGAAAACTTGCAAATCTCTGTGTCATACGACTTAAAGCAATCCCCAACCAACGGAAGGAAAACAAGATTGAAAACTTTGTCAACATGCTGATAGATCCAAACATATCATTACCTGGGCAGTGCAAAGGCACTGTCGCATGTGCGATTTGGCTCTGTCAGCCGCCCTTTGCTGGCCCTTCTCGGGGAAGGCCTCGAACCTGAAAGATGTTGTGCTTTGAAAGTTTGTGGTTCAGTGTGCAGGGCTCAAGGTCTGGGGGTTGGCTCTCAGGGTAACTTCGCATGCGGTGATGAGGTTCTCGGCAGTGCTCATTTCGCTTGTCGGGAAAACATTCTACGTTCGTTTGGGTACAATTGTGGTGCTTTGGAAGGGCCGCTGTAGAAGGTAAACTTGCGTAGAATAGTTTAAGGGTATGGTGCAGGGTCTGCACTGTAGGCATAGCCGACAGTTGGATATATATATATATATATGTATATGTATATATATATATAAAGTCTGGGTGTGAAGGGCTGCGGGCTCGCACACTTTCAAGGCACCTCGTGATACTCACTGTCCGGAATTCGGGCATGACCCGACTAATCTGCAAGGCAAAGACCTGCTGTTGTGGCCACACTCCCAATACCAAAAAACCGACAGCTGAAGGGGCATCGTCGGAGATATGAATCCTTTGCGAGCACATGGCAGTTTAGACTTAAGAGGCTCCAAGGGCCTCAGTCCCATGACTATGTCAGCACCATTGGCACTCTGGGGCCCCGATCGGCGGTACATGCTAGAAGATGATCGTGGGGCCCCCTTGATCTTCTCGTGGCAGTGAGAACGACTTCCGCTTCGGAATTAAAGTTTCTCGATGGGGTTGAGGGTTTTGGCAGTCAGAGCCTTGGACTTGGGGGTTTGGAGCTTCAGATTTGCATCTGGATCTTGATGTTCGGGGCTCAGAATCTAGAATAACCTGGATTTCAAGAGTTGGGGTTTAGGATCTGAAGGCCTCCCGGCTCTGACTTTGGGGATTCGGTCGCTCGCTGACACTAGAACAAGAGCGACGCTTCGGTGTATGAATGTGCAGTGAAGCACTCTTGCCACTCCACTATTCACTTGACAAGCAATATCTACGAGCATAAGACTCCATTCGAAACAGAATCAATTGCATCTTCGGCACAGACCCTGGACATATCGCTCATCCGGAGGATAGTCGTGTGGCAGGAAAGGATCTCCGATCAAGTAGATGGACTTCGGAAACCTGGGCAGCGCGGGCTCCACAGATGTGAGCCCAGCCTAGACAGTTCGACTGTACGTAGAAATTGGACCTGTCTCTCGTGCTGTCGGGAAGTGTGGAGTTTGGCGAGCCAGATATATGAGCCTAGAAGTTAGCAAGAGTCGCGTCTTGCTTAGGTAGAACTGAAGAGTGGTACAAGTCCCTGCAAATGCGGGCCAGGGGCAATCTACAGCCGAACCCGGCAGTCCCGGCTACAGAGATCTATTGCCAGATCTATAATCTTACATCGTCCTGCGGGGACTAGAAGCTCAGCTCCAAACTTGAAGCTTTTCTGGCAAAATTCGCGGCTGCCCCTGCGTCAATGGTATCCCATAGATCTCTGCGGGGGCTACGCTGGAGCTTCGGGCTTCAGACGCTGCAAGAGCTTCGCAAGCTCCGTTGCCTAGGAGCATTTCTGCAGCCTGCTGTAACGTGGTAAAGTTGCCGTCGATTACCTGGGGGAGGGCATGCAGCAAGCAAGTCGGACCACAGCTGCATACAGCTTAGGGCACGGATCTAGGGCTCCAAGACAAGGGTATACATACTGTTCAACATTGAGGCCTGAAGATTCAACTGAGAACAACAGGAACAGATCCAGCTGTGCATGAACGCAGTACACACGACAGCTCAAGGGTGCGATCACATGCTCTAAGAAATAAGAACAGCAGGCCCAGTACCTTTTCTCGTGATCGCGATGGTGGCCAGGATCGCTGTGACCGATATGTATATTGAAATTATACGTTTGCGATCATGAAGTGAAGCATGTGCATCTAGAAGTACATGCGCAGACATATACATACGTGCAAATGCTGCATGCATATATCTAGCTACCTATCTATCAATCCATCCACCGATAATTATCTCTCTCTCTCTCTCTGCGTCTGCCGGTGTGTCTATATATATGTGTGTGTGTGTGTGTGTGTGTGTGCGTGTGTATGCACATATATATATATATAGATGTATATGTATATATATATACATATCTATCTACCTGTCTATCTGTCAATCTATCTATCTATCTATGTACCTGCTCATCTACCTGTCTTCCTATGCATACGTAAACACACATACATGCAAATATGTATTGCTTTTTATGTCTTTATATGTACATATGTATATATTTATATATACATACATACAAGGTCATCACATGTGGCGGCAGGAGACGCAAAGCCACACAGAGGGAGAGAAGCTAGCAGTAAACATAGCGATGTGCAAAGCAGGTTGAGTGCTCCTATGAAGGACTGCATTGCGCAGTCAACCCTGAGCCGCCGGAGGACAACAGAAGCTGCCAAGACACCGTGTAGTTCCCGTGCAGCTCTCCTTCTGACATCTCAAGAAGCAGCTTGGGCAGAGTGAGTCTGGGCTATTGTCAAAGCCCAAAACCTGGCCATAACTTGAACACGAAGTAACCCCGACAGTCCTCCGATGGGCTTAGTCTAATGATGGGCTGTGGCTGTACCCTATGATGCTCATGCTGCTGTACTATCAGTACTATCAGTCGATGGCCGACATCCTCTTCACACCCGTCATGACCATCCTTGCCGAGATCATCGTCGGCATCAGCTTCCTTACGGTCGTCATCATCATCATCATCATCGTCATCACCATGTCCTTTGACATGCTCATCATCATCATCGTGGTCGTCTCTGTTGTCATCTTCATTATCAGCATAATCATCATCACCAGCACCAGCTCACCTTCATCCTCAGCAAGAAGCAGCATGATAATGACGATCCCACAAACCTGAGCATCATTGCCGCTCTACTCGAACACTGCCTCTACCGTCGTAGTTCATCATCGGTCATCATCGTTCATACCCCCCTGAGTGTCACGATCACTGCCATCTTCCTTCTAGCATAGCGTATCCTTATCTTCCCTATGTCGGCCGTCACCAGAGACAGAGCTGGGGGGTTCAGGGAATTCGAGGATCCGAGGATCAGGTGTAGATTTGTGCGGAATGACGACGAAGTTCGGGGCACTGTGACTCCCAAATCCCAAACCCTAAATCCCAAAGATCATGCTCTCTTCTCTCCCAGCACCCGCTCCTGCTGGGCGGTTTATGTACTTTGAATCTGACCGCACGTCGAGGACCTCTGCTTCGTCTTTGGTTTCGGGTTTGGGCTTGGCGTTTCCTTTTAGGAATGTCGTCTAGCATGCCGGTTTGTCTGAGAGGGGCTCTCCCGGTTGCATCCGAGCCGATGCTTCGGAATATAGCATCGCTTCTATGGAGTTCTTCAACTCGGACAATGCATTGCTGGAGGCATCGCTATCCGAGATGCAGACATTTCAGTTATTCGAGAAGTCTTCCTTCGAAAATCCTTCATCGCCTTTTCGAGCTATCCTCGGCCAGTGCATCGAGACTGACCATTCCCGATTAGGATGTGGTCTAGTCTTTCTGATGAAGAGCGCACACCGATTATTGTTCCACCTGTCACAAGCCCATACCACGGATGTGTGTTTAGACACTGTCACTACCTTCCGATAGCAGCATTGGGAAACAAAGCAGCCAGGCGTTGATATTTCAGCTGTTGTGCAGAACGTTCGTAATGGATGCGAGCTAGTCAAAAGATGCAGAATCATTACACAAATAACCGGAACAAGATTGATTGGAGCTCAACCCGTAGATGTGCAAGCAGCTCGCAGCCTGAATCCGAAAATCTCGTTGTCCCACACCGACTGAAGTAAGATCCTCGCCACTCCCTGCCAAGACCTCGAGTTTCGGGTCTCGCGTTCAGGGCTCGGGATTACGAGCAGATCTCACCAAGCCACCAGTGCGACCAGAACGGTATAGCCAGCTTGGGCCAGGGGAAGAAAGAGGCGCTCCACCTGAACGCAGTTGAGACTGAGGATGAAAGGCTTTCGGGCTCTTTGTGCAACACCTCCGTCTACTTGGGATACCTGGGTCCATTGCAATGGGGCCGACCACGAAACAAACAACTATCTCGTCGTTGTCCGAAACGGCATTATGGTGTATGGGCACTTTAGAGATGTGATCAGAGTGGGATCCAACAAGGCACCATAATTGCAAAACCCGAAACGGTCGTCAAGTCAACTCTGAATGCAAGATGCGATGTAAGCTCTGTGCTCAGTGCCTTCAGGTTTCAATTATTCCACGTCAAGGCCTTCGTCTTGAGCTCTAGTCGGCGGATCTGGCCAGTGACGCAAATGAGGAAGTTCTCCTGCCAATGGATCTTCCGGAAACACTGCACAATCAACTATTCTGCCAGGGGATGTTGCAGTGATTCGAGATTTGATCTGCTCTGTATTCTGCTTCTAACTTGTTTGTTTTCTGTTGCCCAGTACCTTCCGCCGCGGCGCATTGTCGGATAAAGTCAAATTGTTTTCACAGTCTTAAGCGGGCCCGTTCACCCGAGAGGCCGATTTGGCCTTGTCGAAAGTCCCAACCGGGCCTCTGTCCCCAGTCCAGCCAGGACATACTATGAGGCTCCTTGTGCTCGTCCGTCTGGTGTCTGTGCGCTTTTTCTAACCGCGCCAATATTTCCGAAACACTCTCCTCCTTGATCACATCTCTTAGAGGCGAAGGCGACTGATAACAAATCTTCCACTTCATTAAGCCATGGGGATGAATCACATCTCTTAAACTAGGCCCCTCATTCGACGATCCAGTTGGTCACATCTGGTAGGTATACCTCAACAGCATCAGGCCTTTCATAGCAAGTTTCGCAAGGCCTTTCACAAAGAAGTGGATTCTGGTAGGGCTTTGACGGTTGATCGCCTCATTCGGTCCCTGGATCATAGCAGTTGATCGCCTGTTTCAGACCCGACTCCTCACCGGGCGATGGCGGCTCATGACAGTCTTTCACCCGCCCCCTAAGTAGGTCATGGCGTTTGAGCACATGCCTTACATGCTGATCACATCTCTCTTGAACTACTCCCCAGGATGAGGTGCTTCATCTCAAGCTTTGCAGCGCTAAACAAGTGGGTGGGTCCGGGGCACCGCCCCCACTTGCAAACACCATGCTCGAATGACCGGCTCGGAAAGGATTCACCTTGGTGCAGCAGCACCTTTTCTCGACAGCACGAGCTTCGTCATGGCAAGCTGTGCATGGTTTAAGAGCCAGAGGAACGGGGGGTCGGGGGGGAAAAGCCCGAGCAGTCGCAAATGAGGAACAGCATAAAGCAGACAAGCACAAGGGGGATTTAGGACTTGTGCGGGTCCTGGACCCTCAGACATGCGCATGCTTTTCAAGACGCTTCAGGTCTGGGAGCGCCACGTTCACAACTAACAGATGAACACTGGCACGTTTTGAGTTGCAAGGTCAGGTGCGAGCTGACCTAGTTACGATCTCGAAACCTTATTTTTTCGGTTCATCCGATGCTTAAACTGCATTCTTTCGACGCCCCATGCCCCTCCGGGTTCTTAAGTTGTCCTGAGCAGATCTCAGACGTCCTGTGTCAAGCATCACTCAAGGTGAGCACTCGCTTGCATGACATGACAGCTACACGAGCAGCAGCAAAAGTATCGACGTGTATCGACGATGCAAGAATGTGCAATGAGTTTGCAAGCATGCATGCACACAGAAAACGATGGACGATGTTGGCGCAATGTCAGTTAAGCCCTTGCATCCCCTTGATGAAGTAGAACTTGGACCGAAGCCACAAGTACTAAGCTTGCCGTGGCACACCCACCAACCCACACGCGCACACAGGCACGCGCGCACGTGCGAAAGTGCACGCATAAATGCTTGCTTAGGTGGCGCCTCGTCGTAGCGGCTATCTTCCCCGCCGATACGCGGATAGAGCGGGGCAAACTCGGGCTGGGGCCAGCCTGGCCGAGCATAGTTGCAGCTTCAGTTCAAGGCAGCTGGGGTCCTTTTGCCCTGTGCGGCTGCAGAATCGATCTGGTCTTGCACGCCGGCAGGACCTGTTCTTTAGGGCCCTCCAAACCCGCAGCTGTGGAGCTTCCCTCCGTGACGCCAAGAGGCCGAAGAAATCTATGAGCGCGGGGACGTTGACGGGAGTTTCGAAAACGTTGATCTCCTGGCTCGTGTCACTCGTTCGGGATGCGCGGTCCAGGAAACAGGAACACAAGCCTAGGACCCATCAGACTGTAGCCGCTACCTTGAAAGCCACGCGTGGTCTGGGCGCGGTGACCGTGTGGTCGATTGCACGCTGCACAACTTGGCACACCCAAAAAGTCGTGTGTGAATCTCAGATCGCTGTGGAGTGGGTGTTGCATGTTGGGGCTTGGAGGGGTGGTTGAATTCGTGGGCCCAGGGACCAACAAAAAAGCCCTTGCTTAGAAAACCATTCCTCGTCTGACTCTAGCCCCCCACCGAAAAAAACACCTCAAGCAACATCAGTCCGTAAGTTTCGCCGCCGGGACGATACAGCGAACCAGTCGCTCGTGCGCCTCTCTGTATAGCATCAACGATTTTGGATTCCGGGGCCAAGGGCTCATCAAACGGTCAGAACAACTGCAATTGGCATCTGTGGTGGCATAGTTTTGCTGGAATCAAGGGTTTGTTCTTGCTTGGGTCGAGGGAATCCACCATTCGTGGCTTCGAAAAGAAACTACAAAGCCCCTTGACTTGCTGAAACTCGCACCCCAACCGCAGACCCGGATCCTTCAACCCACAAGCTCCGTCACCACCCCGGCAGCGACGTACCTCATACAAGCGAACAGCGACGTCAAAGCCAATTTCTTCCAAGCTCCTTGGCTTCGGCTTCAAAGCACATTTCTTTTCTGGGAGGTTCGGGACGGATGCACGAGCTGAAGCTCAAAGCTGGGCACAGGCTGCGGCCCCAAAAAAACATGAACACGACGCCTCCGGGCTCCAACCTTCCCCTGCTGACCCACCAAAAGGGCAAAGCACTGCCCGAACACAAACAAGCTTTCAGCCAAGGCTCATGCCGCATGGACTGTGGAGCGGTACAGGCAAGGTTCTGTCAAACCTCGGTCGTTGTTGAAGCCGTTTCTGCCGCTGCTGTCATAGCTGCTCCTGCTCTTCAACTGAGGATATCGGTGTTGTGCCTACTCCTGCTGATCTCTCAACGATTGTGCTGTCTGTCTCTGCTGCAACCACTACAGCGTCGATATCCTCCTGGTCCTTCTCCCTGTCACTGCTGTTGCTCATATTGCTGTTCTGTTCGTGCCCCCATGTCTGCGTTTGCTGCTGCTGCGATCATTGATGGCAGCATTGCGACTGTCGCCTGCTTTTGATCGTTGAATCATGTGCCTGGTAGCAGCAATGCCAGAGTGACAGGCATTGCTGCTGTTCGCACTTTTATCTTATATCATGAAAACACGACTGACATTTCAGGCAGCACAATCAGTGTGGTCATTCAGCCGTTTGCGTTGCTGCTGGCCTGTGTGGTCGGTCCGAGCACTTACACAAGCTAGTACCCTGATGGTCAATCAGTATACGTAGTAAGCTTAGTACTGCTATTGTCACCGTTTGTAGCGTCCCCTTCTGGAGCTTTCACAGTGTGATGTTCACTCCGGCCATCGTTATCATCAAGGCCTTGGTCCGCTTAAGTCCCGAAAGGGGAGTGGTAGTAGTAGTAGTAGTAGTAGTAGTAGTAGTAGTAGTAGTAGTAGTAGTAGTAGCAGTAGTAGTAAGTAGTAGTAAGTAGTAGTCGTCGTCGTCGTGGTCGTCGTAGTGGTAACCATCGTTACAGCAACAAGAACAACAGCAACAACAAAACCACAACTACAATTACGACTACATCTGAAGCTTGATACTCCCTCTCGTGCTGCTGCTGCATCTGCTTCGCTTCTGCTTCTCCTACTACAACCACAACAACTCCCACTGCAAACACAACTACAACTACAAGTCAAACTTACTATTATTACTACTACTACTACTACTACTACCACTACTATTAGTTACTACTACTGCTACTATGGCTACTACTACTACTACTACTACTACTACGACTACCACTACCACTGCCACTGCCACTGCCACTGCCACTGCCACTGCCGCTGCCACTGCCACTGCCACTGCCACTGCGCCACTGCCACTGCCACTACCACTACCACTACTACTACTACTACCGCCACCACCACCACCACCACCACTTCTACTTCTACTTCTACTCCTACTCCTACTGCTAATTCTACTACTACTACTACTACTACTACTAATAATAATAATAATAACAATAATAATAATGCCACTGCGACTGCGACCACGACTACGACTACCACTACTCAAGCTGCTGCCTCTGCTTCTGCTTCTGCTGCTGCTTCTGCTTCACCTTCTCTTTCCACTACTCCTACCCCTACACATACTCCTACTCCTACTCCTTTATTCCTACCCTACTCCTACCCCTTCTTCTGCTACTACTGCTACTACTACCGCTGCTGCTGCACCACTACGACCACTGCCACCACCACTACCACTTATCGCTACCACTGCCACTGACGCTACCACTACCACCTATCACTACCACTACTACTACTACCACCACCGCCACCACCACTACTGCCACTGCTACAACTGCTACAACTGCTACCACTGGTACTGCTGCTGCTGCTACTACTACTATACTGCTGCTACTTCTACTACGACGGTTAGCACTACTACTGTGCTACTACTGCTTTGCATTACCACTGCTGTCACCATTTTGTAGTATGTTTAAACGTACCGAAAAATTGACGCCTGCAGGCTGCATCATGTTCATTTCATGGACAGCGTTGTGACTCTCACCAACACCCCCTCCTTGCTACCCTCTGCTGCTACTCAGTTTGTCTCAAGTGTCAACGTAATGCCGTCCAGACACTGCATGCGGGACTTCACCCAGTCTGTCGCCCGGCGAGTTGTCAGAACCACCTTAGCGACTGATCAGACTAGCAGTCTCAGCAGCAATAGTTGCACGGGAACTAGCTGAAGTAGTCGTCGTCGGTAATCTTCGTCGGGGCTGGTAGCTGACGTTGGAATCGTCGATGGACTAGAAATGCCGCTGCTGCTACTTCTACTCCTACTCCTTGTAGCGATAGCAGTAGCAGCGGCAGTGGCAGTAGCAGTACCAGCAGAACTAGCAGTTGCAGTGGCAGTGGCAGTAGCCCTAGCACTATCACTTGTAGTAGTAGTAGTAGTAGTAGTAGTAGTAGTAGTAGTAGCGGCAACAGTAGTACCATTACAAAGTAGCAGAGGTAGTAGTAAGCACTGGTGGTGGTGGTAGTACTAGTCGTAGTCGTCGTCGTCGTCGTAGTGGTAGTAGTGATAGCAGTGGTAGTACGGGCAGTAGTTGTAGTAGTGGTTGCACTGGTAGTCGTCGTGGTCGCAGTACTCATGGTGGTCGTAGTAGTCGTGGTAGTCGCAGTAGTCGTGGTAGTAGCAGTAGTAGTAGTAGTAGTAGTGGTAGTAGTAGTAGTAGTACTTGTACTAGTACTAGTACTGGTACTGGTACTGGTACTGGTACTGGTACTGGTACTGGTACTGGTACTGGTACTGGTACTGGTACTGGTACTAGTAGCAGCAGTAGTACCATTTCAAAGTAGCAGAGGTAGTAGTAAGCACTGGTAGTGGTAGTAGTAGTAGTCGTCGTCGTCGTCGTCGTAGTGGCAGTAGTGATAGCAGTGGTAGTACGGGCAGTAGTTGTAGTAGTGGTTGTACTAGTAGTCGTCGTAGTCGTAGTAGTCATGGTGGTCGTAGTAGTCGTGGTAGTCGCAGTAGTCGTGGTAGTAGCAGTAGTAGCAGTAGTAGTAGTAGTAGTAGTAGTAGTAGTAGTAGTAGTAGTAGTAGTAGCAGCAGTCTTCATGGAAATAAGATTTAAGAATGTGAGCAGCGGACAGGATGAGAACAATGGTAACGATGCTAGAACATAGAAGTAGCAGTACCTATACATGATGGTACTACTAGCCATGAAAGCACAAATTGTGATTACCAGTGTTATGGCACATTCTTGAAGTCATGATCTCATGCCACAGTACTGATCCAAAACACACGAACGTTGAGGGAAAGCTGGTAACAACCGTCTGCACAGGTGCCACCCTGCGCATTGCCAACGATCAAAATCTATGTTCGACCTCAACCTGCACTTCGCTTCCCTTTCGGGATCTAGGCTCGTGCACTCCTGTGAAAGGTCTTCAGCATCGACTTTGAATCCCTGTTTTGAAACCCAGCTCCCAAAACGGTCCGCGGTTCCAGTGTAGGTTATGGGTTCTGAGCTTCAAGCAACGGTCTAGCCCGAAACTGGGTCCTGAAACCCACACCTTCAACCACGAGCCAAAGCTGGCAGCGAAGTCGGAACATGAACTCTGAAGTACGGAAAACCCACAACGAATACTCATGAGACCAGGTTGTTGTGGGCGGGGGGTCACTATGTTGCAATTACATAATAGGTCCAAAACACAAAAAAGGTGGGCATTTCATGTCCATATGCAGTCTCCTATGCATCTTAAAACCCAGGCTTACATGCAGGTACGTTGGAAACTGTCAACTTGCATGCTGACGAATTCTCAGTTGTGACAATACCATCAAAACTAGGGTTTTCGCCTCTACCGGACTTGTTGACGGCTTAAGGGAGCTAACATTCGCTGTTTGGTCTGACAGTGAAGTCGTTCCAATTTATGCTGGTTGCTGAATCCTGTGGACCGCGCTTTGCTCTGAAGCAACGGAAACAAATCTGTCATCATGCTCGAGTTTTATTTTGGAGGGATCTAGCGAGAAACTTAAGCAGCGAAAAAGTACTGAACAAATCGGAAGGCCTTCGAGTTGGGTGAGACGGCATAGAAATCCAGAAAGTGCTCCGCCAGAGGAGTATCCAGAAGCATATCGTGCCCTGACACAAGTCTCGAACCAGCTACCTGAAAGCATTCTGAAAGATTAGGTACTGAATGCGTGGCATGTCCCAGAACATCACTTTGCTGTTTACTAGATGCGACACACAAGACATGCCTTGCAACAACGACAGGTTCCAGGAGTGGAATTCTAGACCAATGGTCATGATGACACCAGAGTTATTGCAGTCGAATAGAGTCGGTAGACTGTTGGCTTAGATGCCACGTACTTCCAAGAACCTGACACAAAGCATGAACATCTGTGTTGCGCAAGTTGAGCGCAGCCCATGGAATCCCTGAGAGGCTACGTCGCGACATGCTCTTCCTAACCATGGCTTTGTCAGTGAGGTGTTACTGACGCTATGAGCACATGGGGGTGAGCACACAAAAATGCTCTAGAAGGCTGTCCTCGCGATTTGGACGTTGCAAATTCAAGTACACTCCTGCAAAAAAGCGTCTAATAGTATTTCCGGAACGAACGGCACAAATCATCCTCCAGAGCATGTGATGTATAACCCACCGGCTGCTTTATCACGGCACTTCGTCAGAGCAGTGTGGCCAAGCCGCACGAAACGAATGGGCACGTAGAAATACGGAAGCAACGATTCGATAAAGAGATCTACCTCGCTGACTGCCGCTTGATCCATACATAGGTTGAAGTTCAGCGGCTTCAGTTTGACCATGAGAGGTTGTGGCAAACTGCTACCCTAAGGTCTCAGTAGTTGACACTGGTCATTGGCTTGGGTGGGCTGGCAGCATCGCGGACTTGGACTTGTGGTCTGCACAAGCCTCGCCATGCCCTGCTGCTCAACTGATGTTCAGTTTGTCCAGGTGGCACCTGTTAAGCGTGTATGGTTGCCATAGTGGAGACCGAAAAGGAGAGGCCTCCTTGCCTTGACGAACAGCAGCTGGGCGTTGTCATGGTCAAAGATGATGATGGTTTCCGGTTAACTCTGGTACATTGCTCGGGGGCTGAGCATCCCATTCCGCAGGCCAGAGGCCGTGGCCTCAAACCCTAAAAGGAGTGGGTGGGTGTGAAACCCTGAACCCTAAAAGGAGTGAGTGGCTCCGAAACCTCATACCCTGAAAGGAGTGGATGCGTGCGAAACCCCAAACCTTACGGGAGTGAGTGGGTGCGAAACCCCAAACCCTGAAAGGAGTGGCTGGGCGCGAAACCCCAAAGCCTAAAAGGCGTGGGTGGGTGTCAAGCCATGAACCCTAACAGGAGTGAGTGGCTACGAAACCCTCACATATACCCTTAACGAAACCCGGAACCCTACAAAAGGAGTGTAAATAACACTATAATGCAAAACTGTGTCCCGAAACCTGTCGTCCCAGCACTAGCCGCAAAACCAAGCCCGCTAGCCGCCAGCTAAAAACGCCAAGTGCAAGCTGCTCGCCTCCGGAAAGTGCAGCGGAAAAGTTAATGGCATTGACTGCCTTGAAGCAGCCTGCGGCGCCGTCTGGGTGCCTGAACAACGCAGACTGTGCAGCCGAGGAAGACTTCGGAATGCCTGTTCGTCTTTAGTTTTGTTGCATATCCCACCCTCCATCCCATAACCGCGTGTACTGCACACGCTACTCTTGCCAATGGGGATGTGCAAGATTCCAAACCTCTCTGCCAAAGCAGGGAACACAAAACTATGGAGACCAACATGGCAACGGTGGCTTAAAGTACCTGGCCCCTACACTGTACGACCCTACGAAGGCTACTGTAGAGCCACAAACTTCACCTCCATGCGTGGAGCCGGGAGCTTTTGCTCCTGTGCTCCATACAATCTCAAGACGCTTCCATACAGCCTACAGACCGGCAAGTGTGCTACATTGCTATATATCCGACAGCCTTAACCTGAATTGGAATGAAAGACATGCCTGTGCATTCGTAGCTTCGCAGGCTTGGCGGCAGGGTCGCTGTTTGGGGCTGGGCGTGGATTGCAGCAGAAAGCTGTTGATCACGGACAAGACTATGCGCAGCCGAACATTGGTCGAAAACCCTCAGCCAGAACACAGTAGCGACAGGTCTAAAGCCAATGCCCGGGCTCGTTTAGTGATGTTAGGTCTATGGGGTTTGCATTCTTCTTAACCTCAGTACACATCTGCAACAACCCTGCTGAAACTTGGATTTGCGTTGAGAGTTTTCCGGGTCAGGGTTACCTAACTTCGCATCGTCACTTTCCAGACCTCCTGAAAGCGCTCACCCTGAAACATTGACCAATGCCCTGTTCGCCCTGAGCTCTCTAGTGCCGGCACTGCACCAGGACCTTCAACGCCAGCCCTGCACGTTGCTCTACCCTTCCGTTCAAGCCTCTCTTGGCAACCTCGTCAAAGCTACAACCGAAACATGTAGCAAACGAGTTTTCAGGTGTCCGTGGTGAATCTTGCCTGCTTTTAGCCCAAGGGCTTCCAGAGCCCTGAAACCGAAAGCATTAAGCAAGGCCTATAGCACCGAAAAGAAAAAACCACAAAAGTGATACATCTACGTGAAGCGAGAGATTCCCCAGACCCCGAGGCGAAATCCCGAAGTCCACGGCGCTTCTTGCTGACCAAGCCATTCAGTTGTGTCCAGAACTCAGGAGGATCCTGAGTCTAGGGTAGAAGGTGTCGTGTCGGGATCTTTAGGTTTCTTCCGGGCTGCAAGCTCTCTCTGTCAAGAGATCTGCGGATTGCAGGCTTCCGGCTCTTGGGACTCTCAGGTGTCTGTTGTGTCATCTACCTGAAGGTTTTATTTACGCTTACAATAATACAGGAAAGCTTTCTATCTTTCGAATTCCGGTAAGGATTCTAACATCCCGTTGCCACAGAGCTCGACCTGAAAATGGTTGCTGGTAGCTTCAGGCTGGAGGCTGAAAAGATGGTTTCTAACTCAGCACGGGATCTCCGAGGATCTAGACCAGGATCTTCACTTCACCCCATTCAACACATCCCCAATGGTGGGATTTTCACTGAAGATCCCCTTCCACAGGCCACAAAAGGCACCCTACAGCACAAGAGCTACCCCAACTGTTCGCATGTCAATACATTGGCTGTCCACAAGTCACGCGCCCATCAACAGGCCAATACCTGGTACCCCTGAATAAACTCCGAAGCTTAACAATTCCTGAGCATTGAAGCCCCAACCTACCTCTATCAACACTCTCTGTTGCAACAACACCCGCGTCTTCAAACACAGACCCCATTGGGAGCAAGACAGAATCCTAAAGGCCCCAACCCAAACTCTTCCCACGTTTATGTCACAGTGGCAGCCGCGGATAACCAGTGGTGGACCCGGCGGCCCAGTTGGGCAGCGAAGGTAAACAAGGAGCGAGTGGCGGTAGTACCTCGTCGGACTACGCCGCAAGCATGAACCCGGCATTTCTGTGGTATGTGGAGCATGCAGTCTTCGGGACAAAACTCAAGCTTTATGGGCAAAGCTGTAGGGTTGCCGATGTGTTCACGGTGTCGACGATGCATGTTCACCAATCCACGGCTGCCAAGGTCAGGGCTTCGGACCGCTCTGAGGAAAAAGATTGCAATCGAGGTCTCAAGCAACAGCTCACGGTAAGTGTTTCAGCACCTATGAATAATGAAAAACGCTCGAGATGGCGCTGACCTAGAGATGGCACTGAAGCGAGCAGGACAGTGTGCGTGGATGAAACTCCTGGACGAAGCCCAAGGACCAAAGCCAGCACCCAGGATGACAGAGTCGTCAGCAGCTGGTGCCCCTGCACCACCAAACTTTCCTAGGCACGGCAAGGCAGGAGGATGAGCGATTCTGCGGCACTGGGCTGTTGGGTGTCGGGATTTCGATTTTCGCGGGTGGGGGCTTGATTGTGTCAGGTTTGGGGCTCAAGACATCACAAGGTCTTGGAGCCCCTTTCGTGGGGTGAAGGTGCAGTGCTTCGGCTCTCTTCCGGGCTTGGCTCGGCTCGGAGTTCAGGGACGGACCTCTATTGCTGAATCCGAAACTGCTCCCGCAGGCAATGTTGGGTATGATAATCTTTTCTGTTACACCCTCTTCTACAGCGTTAGGACACCAGTGAAAAAGATTATGCTATTGTGGAAATGTGCTATGATGATGTCTATAAATACCGTGCTGCATTGTGCTGTACATGATGCTCATGTTCTGCATTTGCAACTTTATTTTTGACATATATCGCGTTGAACGAAGGCTTGCCCAAGACCGACGATCGTTGGAAAACCTTGACATCCGTTTCCAAGAACCCGAAATACAGGAAATGAGCTGCTCGCATGCGAGGTTGGACTGAGAACTGACAGTTTCTGTTTGAGACAAAGCATTCGAAGAGTTCCCGTGCCCCGGCTTTCGTTCGGCTACGATCACACCAACTATGGCTTGCGAATGTCGGTGCGCGAGTTGACCTGCAAAGCCGGGGATGTCGGAATCGATGCTGGAAGCATACTCCCGGATACCTCAGAGATTGAGGCTTGGGCCCAGGTTCCCGTTGCAATAAAGTCTGGTCAAGGCTGGGAATGATTTCGGCTTTAGGTTTGGGTGCGAGATTCAGGTGTTAGACTTGGGCGTCGAAGTCGGATTCACAGCCAGACAGGCCTCCAGGTTGTCGGCGGCAACGTTACAGATGACGTCCATAACAAACAGAGTGGTACTTCAGCACACATTCGGCACCTGAAACTGTGAACCCAGACCCAAGCCATGGCTTGCAAAATGACGCTTATTCCCGCAACCCGGAACCCTAAACATTTTTCTATTTCACATCCAGGGTCCAAACAAACTGGGAGCCCGAAGCATTTTGACAAACGGCAACTGAGCCACCCACGCGAGCCCAAAACTGTGCTCTCAACCGAAGCCTTCCCATGCCTGAACCCCAAAATCAAGTTTCCGAAAACGCTCGCCGGAACGTTGCTGAGCTCTTCACATTGTCTCTGCTCATCTGAAAACGGAGAGTCCTTGCCAACAAACGCAACTTCCTTACGCATCTAAAGACTGCTCTGACCGGAATCACTGAACAGCGGATGATTGAAAAGCAAAGGTGTCCTGTGCAATATCTGCGGCATCCAGTAACTTGGAGGCGTCTGCACGATGCTGCATGAGGCATGACGTCTTACCTGGAGATTGTAACAGCATCACTGTCAAAGCGCAATCATCCAAGATCAATCTTTGATCAAACTCAGAGCTCAGTTCGACCAGACAGGTCAGACAAGTTTCACTTCACTGATTCACCTACATGAACGTGAAACACCTAGAACCGACACTCATGAGCACCGTAACATCGGGGCCGGGCAGCTTTGGCTGTGCACAGGTTCGATCCCAGAGACAAGAACGTGGAAGGCAAGGAGATGTGCGACTGCTGCCGCACATGGCGGTTTCATGACCGGGAAGTTGCAGCTTGAATCAACATGATCCTGCCAGAGCAAGAGCCGAAAAGAAAGGATCCACGAGCCCACATGATGATTTGCGTGAATTACCGGACTGCTGTTTGTGGTTTACGACGTGACCGACCATGGCATTGACTGCTACAATACACCAAAAGCACGTCCATGTCCAAACCACACGGAGCGGGGCTGCTCTCTACAAACGCACAATCTTTCTTGCACCTGCTCAACCGGATTCTATTGTTGATGACTGACAGAGCTAATGCAAAACAATGTCTCTCTCCGTGGCAGCCTCCTCTGCAGTAGATGTTTGGCAGGGAATGCACTGAAACAACGATCCATACAAAGGCACGCCGCCATCAGGCATATGCGTGCATGTTCCGGCGTTCATGCTCCGTGCGAGTTTCCTCAACCACCTTGCAACCTGTGAAGAAATTCACGGGACAACTTTGATGGTGCGGCTGCCTTGAAAAATTGAAGAAAAGCCAGACATCCTGATGCGAGGCACTGGTGCACATGAAAAATAGTTGCAAAGATGAATGTAGACAACCACGAAAATAATTTTTGCTTGTGACATGAATCGGGTGCCGATTGTTTTCTTTTGCATGTATGAAGTTGCGATCACGAAAACATCTTCCTTTCAAATTGGCCGGTTGCATGCTAGACTCCAAGGGGTTTGGCTGGGTTAGCAAAGCCAAATCTTCAAAACTCATGTTGCGTACGACTTGCCTTGCAAAAGAAACTACTCAAGAAATTTGGGTCAACCTCATGTTTTGAAAATGTTTCAGAACCGAAGTGATCTGAGATGATGCTTGCCAACTTGAGAACGAATCTTGCACGACCGCCTTTGTCCGCTAAAACACAACTGTTCTCTTCGTTTTCCATCATGCACGACTCTGTTCGAAAAAACATGACACATATACCCCATCGCTTTTCTGAATGTTGGGCAAAGGACTTGCGAAAACCTACGATAGTTCATGTTGAAAAAAATTGGCCTTTGTACATTATGGACCCAATGGTCTTCCACATGTTCACACTGACGCCTTAACCAGTGGTGGTTTCCTTCCGAACAATGGCAACCCTCATGATCTGCCACGCTTGATCGACCTACTTTCATAACATGACAGTTCTGCTGCTAAAGTTCTGAAGCTGGTGCAGCAGCAGTCCGCGAACTTCACAGGTCCCTCCAAACACAAACAACAATTCTGAACAGCTTGATGCCACATGGGCGCAGACTGGTTGACGCCGAATTTGGTTATAGGAACCGTTCAGCATCAAAAAGCGCTCGCTGTCAGCGACTTCCAGCTTAACGCCCACCATCTCACCAAACGAGTGGAACCAATGCAAAGATCCAGCCGTTCTCGTCCCAAACAACAGACTACCCTTGTCGGACTGAGAGCTGCTAATACAGTCGATAAGGTCCCCGCCTACGCAAAGAAAAAAATTCTACAGGGGTTCGAACTCACGGCCATTCAGATGCGAAACTTAATTTTGGAAAGCATCTCCAGCTTTCTGCTGGTATTGAAGTTCCATAATACTCCACGGGGGGCAGGTTAGAAGTTTGGTTAAACATTGTTACAACCTTCCGAGCTGAAAGTTACAACTGGTTGAACCCTAACCCCAGGTTAGAGTTCGGAACCTCAACCTGAAGTTAGAGTTGGAGTTAACCCCAACTTTTTAATTTTTGTTGGAACTTGAAGTTCAAATCCAGTTCCAACCCCAGGTTCGGGTTGGAGTTAACTCCAACCCCAACCTCGGGTTCGGAAGTTCAGGTTGAGGTTAACTCCAACCTCAACCTCGGATTCGGAAATTCAGGTTCAAGTTAACCCCAACCGCAACCTCGAATTCGGAAGTTCAAGTTAACTGAATCTAGCAACAAGGTCTGATAAACTGTGACGTCAAAGTGGTTTTGTTTCGTGTGGCTTGTTTTCTGTTTGCGATTGCGTTTTTTTCATTGATTCTTCTTTTCTCATTTTCTTTTCTTCGCAAAATCCCCCTAAAGCGAATTCGTGTGGCTTCTTCTTCTTCTTTTGTGTTCGTCACTGCGTTTTGTTTGAGTTTTTTTTCCTTGGGGTGGAAGTTCGAAATTAGATTTAACCCAAGCAGAATGGCTCAAGGTCTGATGGGCAGCTCGGCAAGGTCGCTTCAGGGACTAGGGGAGTAGGGTGTAGGCGAAGCGCTGAGGCTGTACATCGATGCCATCAACTCCTTGCTCCTTCAAGACAGGCTTCCAGTGTCAAGACTGCGCACCAAACCACCAACAACATCCAAACAGAGTACGATGTCATGTTATGTGTTATCATCACAGCTACAGGAACAAGAACATGTAAAATGATGAGCACATCATCAAGACATGGACCAAAATACATGCAAAGCGAAGGCTGCCCCATGGAGTCGGGGGAGCCCCCAGACACATGCTGCATGTGACATGGCTACTCAGAAACCGCGATGGGGATATGGGCTGCAAAACACTGGATTCACTGCGGCTCGAAGACTTGGATCAAGATCAAGGACCCTTGGTACAGGCTCTGGAACCCTCACATACCCATGAAGCACCAAAAAAACGTGGGGCCCACTTCGAGTGCATCTCGAGGCCCCACTTGCGGGCACTCCGGGACTGTAAGCACGTTGAGAGGGCAAAACATGTGGCTTCAGTTGCATGCATTCAAAAAGGTATCGGGGACTCGAAATCTTTTTGTCTTCTAAAGCAATTGCATCACTTATACGGCCCGGGAATCTGGGAAACATGAATCAACAGATCACATGAGTAGCAGGCACACTGGACGCCCGCCCGCATGGGGGCACATCTTCCACTCCCATTCACGTCAAACGCACCTATGCTCTGCGATCATTTACGCGCATCGATAAAACCTCATGATGCCGTCGTAACGCTTCCAAAGTGACGCCACCAAGTACCTCGGAATCATCATGATTTCCTGGCGACCACTGAGGACCATCGCCCTCCTGGATCTGCAGATGCAACAACTGCAATTGCATCTGAGACGCGATGCATGAGAATGATGTTTGCACCGCGACTCCGCCAGGATGGGCGGTGTTGTCAATCCCGGGCCAACATTTCTCGCATGCGCAATATGTCATTCATGAGCGCATTTGGCAGCTGCCGCCAATGCAACCAACACAAACAAAGCAAAAGCAAAATTCATCTTCAAGACAGAGCGGATCTTGGAAGAACAACTAACAAGGTCACAACAAGTCACAAGCTCGGCGGAAAGGCAAGTCGATTGACGCAACAAATGACATGCACCACAAGCTAAGTTCCAGCTTATTCCACATCAGTGCGTGTGGCTGAAGCGGCACGACCCGCGACATGCGGCCTCTCTCAATGAGTTGGGGCAAGACTTGGGCGGCCTAGGACTTGTCGTGGCATCAGGTGCATCACGTGAGGCAGCTTTTGCCGCGACGCATGTTCGAACATTGAGTCGATAAGCCAGGCACCGACGCCACTGCATCAAGATGAAACCCGAGACCTTGAAGCTTAAAGTCTTCAAAGTCTAAGCCGCCCTCAGCAAGATGATGGGGAGGCAGCTCGCAAGTTCATCGGCTGGCTGGCTGTGCCCTTGGAAAGCAGATGGTCTCACTGGTGGGTGCTCATGCATGCATGACCCTGAGTTCGACCCATGCATGTTTGTTCACCCGGGGGCATATACGGGTGCCTTCCGCATCATGCTGCCAATGGAGGACGTGGCCCTGGGTTTGGCCGCGGCTCCCTCCCTGCAGATTCAACCGGCAGGTTTGCTACGCAATGCGCTTAGTCGACTGCGGAATCGAGCCACCTCGTCTGGTTGGCTTCTCCCGCGAGTCCTGGTGTACTGGTTGAGGGGGCCCATTCGTACTTCCCCCTGCGCTTCTTTGAATAGTGCGTGGATCTGCTGGTGGCGGCGCTTGCCTGCACAAGGGAGTGGCCGCAGCTCCCGCCTCTGCGAGACGCTTGCCTGCGCAGGTGAGCGTTTGCCTGGGCCTGCACTGGGCTTGCCTTAAACCCTAAACCCTAAATTCAAAACCCTAAACCTAAACCCTAAATTCAAAACCCTAAACCTAAAGCCTAAATTCAATACCCTAAACCTAAACCCTAAATTCAAAACCCTAAACCCTAAACCCAAACCCCAAACCCAAAACCCTAAACCCTAAAGCCTAAACCCAAATATCGGTGTTACGTTTTGGTCTAAAACATCTGCGGGTTCCGACTTGCCAGAGCTCAAAAGCGGGCTGCAGCACAAAACACTACAAGGGTCTTTTCATTTTGGGCACAGACCTTCACAACAACGTCTGCTACTGGCAAGACCGCGTCTGCTACTTTCACTTCGGGCCAGCTCACAACAGCAAAAGCATAGCAATTGCTTTGCTATGTCACCCAGGAGTTTGGTGACTGCACTAGCTAAACAAAACGTTTCTTGAAGTGTTGCGAAAAACTTCGTGGTGCAAAACAAAGCGTGTTTACAAGTTCGTTGGCAAACTTCCGCATGCGAACTGCTAGCATTACACGGCACTACAAAGCCGTGGGACAAACGAGGCTTCAGGCATTCACGTCTTGGCATTCCGCAGCTTCTGCTTGCAGCGAAATCAAAACATCTGACTTCTGATTGCATCAACAAAAAACATCCGACTGCTTTCCGATTTGATCTCGCTGCAAAGCGCCATCTTACGACAAGCGTGCAAACAAGTTCGTTGGCAAACTTCCGCATGCGACATGTTAGCACTGCAAGGCACTACAAGGCCGTGGGACAAACGAAGGGTACTCACGTTTTGGCATTTCGCAGCTTCTGCTTGCACCGAAAAAAACTGACTGATTGCAGCAAAATAAAATAAAAACATCTGACTGCTCAACCAATCTGCGTCGTCTTCTTCTCCACCTCTTACAGCAGTCTGCAGCAACGAATCGAAGTACCACATGTCCTCTTGTTTTGCATGGCGGATTGACTCACTACGCTTTCCGTCTTGAAAAGACTGAGTCATGTCAAGACATGCAAAAAGCAACA